CTGGGTTGTGTAACTGATGGGTTTCTAGATGGGTGGTGATCTTGCTTCTTAGGACCCTTTCAAATTATTATTATTATTATAATCAAGGGGGAAGCGCTAAACCTGGATGATTATACAGCGCCTGGGGGGGGGATGTGGAAGGCATTCAGGCTTAATTCGGGGAACTGGAGCACAGATCCAATTCCCTAAATCAAGAGCCCCTCACCAACATCAAGGAACCTTCCTTGAGGGGACCCTTTCAAAGATTTTTTGATATGGGATGTTAGTGCTATCGGTCTGTAGTTCTTTGCTATTGCTTTACTGCCCCCTTTGTGGAGTGGGGCTATGTCTGTTGTTTTTAGTTGTACATCTTATTTATAGCAAACAGTAAATTGGCTCAAATTACAATAGGCGAAAATCACAATGGGACAAGTTGAAAGTAGGACACATTATTATTATAATCAAAGGGGAGCGCTAAACCTAGAGGATTATATAGGGCATGTGAGGGAGGGGGAGGGAAGGCATTCAGGCTCAATTCAGGGAACTGGAGCACAGATCCAATTTCCTAGATCAAGAGCCCCTCATCAGAATCAAGGAACCTCCCTTGAGGGGAAAGTAGTACACAGGTTGTATATATCAACAGTAAAATGACTTAAATTACAATATGGAAATATTACAAGGGGCCATGTTGAAAGTAATTTACAATATGAGATTGTAACAATTGAGTATGTCAGAACAATTTTGTTTGTAATTCATCCCGGCCTACATGCTCTCTTGGACCCAGGTCCAGCATGAATCTCACCATTGTTCTGGGTGATTTGTAGTCTTTTTTTTTTTTTTTTTTTTTTTTTTTTTTTTTTTTTTTTTTAAGCAGAGTACCATGAAGAACAAGAATAAACTACATGACATTGTATAAGAGGTAGACGTAGGGTCCTGCATGCCTCAGTAAGTAGACACTGTGCCTGTCTAATTAGCGATTTCTTTGATTATAATAATGTCCCTGTCTAAAGAGGAACTTCAGCCTGCCATTCTTTTTTTTTTTTTTTTTTTTTTTTTTTTTTTTTTTTTTTTTTTTTTTTTTTTTTTTTTTTTTTTTACTTACTTAATTCTTCACCATCATTTCAGCGCTGTATAACCCTTGTGGGTTTCGCGTTTAGTTTTAGTTATAATAATAATTAAATAATTCACTATCATTTGCCATGTAAAATAAGAATGGGATTAACTTGCTCCACGTAAAATTGTCACACTATGGTATAAGAGGGCACTCCCTCAACTACCTCAAGTCGGGGATAGCAGGGAAGGAGAGAGGAAGGTCTGACCTCAGCCAGGTCAGATCAGGTCACGCGCGGACCCAGGCCACCGCCTGGGATGGTGCGATCAGTGTTCAGAGTCGATCACTCAGTGTTCAGAGTGACTCACGCCGAGAGCGAGAGAGATTGCTGCAGCAGCAGCAGACGTGGACGTTTGAGTAGCAGCGAGCCGACGGTGCGTACGTGCGTGTAGCACCGGGTGGCGAGCTTGCCGCGGCCTGAGCGCCTCTGCGATTGGTCACCGCGTTGACCAATCAACGACGCCTCTACCGCGAGCACATGAGAATATTTTAGACATCCCTACGATCCCCGTTGGGGAGGGGAACACTGCTACCCACGATGTATTACTCTAATAGAGTAAAGATTCAGCCAGCGAGTGGAATAATCAACGACTCAACTAAGCTAGCACTTGCATCTGTCGTTAGTGGCAGACTGCATGTTAAGTGCAATGTGATTCTGTCACTCAAAGAAGCCTTCATTGTCATCTGTACTGACGACACCGAAGCCGAGAAACTACTCACCACTACTGCTGTCTCCACGCTACAAGATCATGGATTCTCTGTTTTGAATTCCCCAGCACTGAGGGCCAGAAGAACTGTGTTCCTCAGGAGACTCGACAGACTCATCACTACACAAACTACTGAAGAGATCAAGTTGTCCATTGAAGCACAGAATTCCTGGGCCAAGGTGGAATTTCTTACCAAGATACCCAACGCCTCCTCCATGCTGAAGGTCACCTTCAGTGACGTCAACATGGCAGCCAGAGCCCTCGCTGAGGGCCTGGCTATACACTACTTCCATATCAACCCAGCCTTCATTGAAGCAGAAAAATACCAACAAATCCCACAGTGCTATAACTGTTACTCATACCAGCATATCACCAAAAACTGCCCTGACAAAGACAAGAAGTACTGCTCCACCTGTGGCCTTGAGGGCCACGACTTCAAGAATTGCACTACTGCTTCCCCACCGCAATGCTTGAACTGCAAGGATGACCATCATACTCTTGCTGCCAGGTGCCCTATCAGAAGGGACATACTCAAGAAACAACAGCTACAACAGAAGCCCAAACCACAAGCATCCACATATTCTGCTATTGCCAAGATTCAAGCAGACACTACCAAGATCCTACAAGCCACGCAAGCTGCTCCTACTACCTTCCTCACAGCACCTGCTGCCGATCCCACCAAGATCCTATGTTGCATCATGTATGCTCATGTGCAGAATGCAGCTGAGCCTGGCTCATTCAACTCCACCATCAACGAAGTATTCAAACTCAACAACATGCCTGAAGTCACATTCCCTGCATCTCCACCTTCCACTGAGATCCTACAAACCACTGCAAATATTGCCAGCTTAACTGCTGTGCCACCACTGTCACAACCTCCACCTGACATGGAGATGGACCAGTCTGAGACTCCTGATACGGCGGTGAATTCCACCAATGAAAGTCCACCACCTCCTGCCTCCACCACCACCACAACTGTCCAAGCCGAGGCCTTGCCTCGAACAACTCAACCGCCATCCAAGAAAGCTAAAACGCAAGAAGCAAGGGCTGCAACTCCCCACACCGCTACCACTGTTACACCACACCAAGGAGTCAAGGCCAAGAATCTCAAAACTCAAGAACCAAGAGCTGCAGCTCCCCAGGCCGCTGTCAATCCCCCACGGCAACAAGAAACCACGGGCAAGAGTGGTGGACACTGCACACACAACCAGAAGAAGAACCCAATACAAATTCCAGAACGTGGGCAGGATAACAAAGACACTGTGAATCCTCACATACAAGAATTTGCCAAGCAAATCTACTCTGCCGTCAAACTTGGTGGAATCCAGGGAATCGACCCTGTAGCACTGAGGAACAGGTTTAATCAGATTGTTGAAGAGGATCCCCGCTTCTAGCACCACCGTCAAGACAAGTTCCCCCAGCACTTTGCTGCCTGCTAAAGCTGGGGTGTGGCTCCAATCGACCCTGTTTTCTGCCTCTGCCCAACTGTGACATCGAAGATCCCAAGCAAGAAGACACTCCCCACTTGTGGAGTCCATGCAAGATAGAAGAAGAAGTTACCCTCCAACCGGAGGGCCCAAGAGAGAAGATAGAAGAATGAAGACGAACGACACCCCCGCCCCGGGGGCCACCGCCGGGTCACCAGCTGGAGAAGACCCGGGCCGGAAGTACCGGCAAACATCTAAGAAGAAGAAGAAGGACTACCTCAAGTCATACCTCAGCAACAGAAGCCAATATGTGTACGCAAATGGGGCAAACTCTTCTGCGCAACCAATTACAGTTGGTGTCCCACAGGGAAGTGTCCTTGGCCCTCTTCTCTTTCTCCTATACATAAATGACCTTCCAAATGCTTCGCAATTACTCAAACCCACACTATTTGCAGATGACACTACATACGTCTTCTCTCACCCGAGCCCAGTCACACTAGCCAATACTGTAAATACCGAATTACAGAAAATATCTACCTGGATGAGGACTAATAAACTTACACTAAACATTGACAAAACCTACTTCATTCAGTTTGGTAACAGAGCTACAGATGTCCCTCTTAACATAATGATAAACGGATCACCTATCACAAAGCTAACAGAGGGAAAATTCTTAGGAATCCACCTTGATAATAGACTCAAATTTCATACACATATACAACAAATTTCTAAGAAAATTTCCAAGACTGTAGGCATACTATCGAAGATACGGTACTATGTTCCACAGTCAGCCCTCCTGGCCCTATATCACTCTCTTATTTACCCCTATCTCACCTACGGAATTTGTGCATGGGGCTCAACAACAATTAACCATCTCAGACCACTAATTACCCAACAAAAGGCTGCAGTTAGAATGATAACAAATTCTCACTACAGGCAGCACACTCCACCAATATTCAATACACTAAACCTACTCACCATACAAAACATCCATACTTATTACTGCACCTATTACATACATAGAACACTTAACTCTGATATTAACCCTCCCCTCAAACATCTCCTTGCCAACCTCAACAGAACACATGACCATAACACAAGGCACAGATCACTCTTTGATGTTCCTCGTGTCCATCTCACACTATGCAAAAACTCAATGCACATAAAAGGCCCTAAAATCTGGAATTCATTACCTGTAAATATAAAAGAAACACTACCTGTTTATAAATTCAAGTCTCTACTCAAAGATCACTTACTCACCCAAAACCAAATAAATACTGAATAACTGAACCTTATAAATTGTATATCTTAAATGTTTCTCACAATTATATCACATAAATGTTAAACCTAAAACTGAATCTAACTATTATTTTTTAAATACACTACCTAACAGAATCCTTCATATGACTGAATGCAACCATATGACCTGTCTTTGTAATACTCACTTGTGCTTTATAGTAATCTGTTTACATTAATGTTTTATCACTGACTTCATCATTGCTTAGTTAATCTTAAGTTAATTTTAAGCCAGCCCGTAATGCTATGCATAGTATAAGTGGCTTTGGCATGCTGCTCTTATCTGTATTTTTTGTACCTCTGTATGTGTGCTCAAATTTATAATAAATAAATAAATAAATAAATAAATAAATGATTGGGTAATAATGATAAATCATTAACTTAATTGCATAAAACTGTAACGGTTGTAACATGAATACAAAAAGAGGATATAAATATTTATATTAATGATCCCCTATGAAGTTAACTAAAATTTGCCGCGAAAAGTTAACAACAACAACAGCAGCACCACCACCAGCACCACCAGCAACAGCACCACCAGCAACAGCACCACCAGCAACAGCACCACCAGCAACAGCACCACCAGCAACAGCAACAGGCGGGGGTGAATCATACTAACTTGTACCTGAAGCACTAAACTACTTTACAAGATGGATCTTTCAACGTATACTAGTAATAATCACTGTAATGTGTACGTGAATTCAGATGTACCTGAGGTGTGTAAGGAGGAGCCATGTGTGGTAGGCGTTGATGAAGCTGGCAGAGGACCTGTCCTAGGTAAGATCAGTCACTTGTTAGATAAAAAGACAAGTGCAGCTAATGTGACATTTTATTGTGGTAAGGTTTTGCTCTCCAGGAGCTTTATCAAGCCGTTAGCGCTGATTATAATAATTTATTAAGCCGTTATGTTGCCACAATAAAATGTCACATTAGTTGCACTTGTGTCATTTTACCTAATATTGTAGGTAACTGTACCAATTAATACAAGGAGTCAATTGTTACCTCGGTGTACTTCAAGGAGGTGCCTCTGTACCCGTGTATAATTAATCGTCGAAGAGCTAGTAATCCAGGATAACCAGATAAAGCATCCTGGGACTAAACTGACCTAATTTGATGTCGGCTAGGCCTGTATACCTTGTACATATGCTTGTAGTAAATAAAGATAATATTATATTTTGCTAGACCTAAGACATCCAGCATTTCATTCATAACTTTCACAATCGTCTCTTTCTTGTCTATACTACGTCCACACACACATTCAAACATCTCAACTTTATAAAGTTTTTTTACATTAAGCAATTAATACAAGAGAAGGGGGTTATTGATATCTTGCTCCCAGCATTTTAGTCACCTCTGCATGGCTTATGGAGGAAGGATTCTTCTCTGCTTCCCCATGGAGCTGAAATGCAGTATAATACAGTTTTTTCTTTATGCAGTTTGCTGACCTGGAAAATGTACAGAGAACCTTCACTGCACAAATAACTATGATAAAACACTTAAATTACTGGGAACGCTTGAAGTTCCTCAACCTGTACTCCCTAGAATGCAGGTGGGAGAGATACATGATTATATACACTTGGAAAATCCTAGAGGGATTAGTACCAAACTTGCACGCAAAAATCACTCCTTATGAAAGCAAAAGACTCGGCAGATCATGCAACATCCCCGCAGTGAAAATCAGGGGTGCCACTAGCACGATAAGAGACAACACAATGTCAAGAGGCCCAAGACTGTTTAACTGCCTTAGAGCATACATAAGGGGAATTACCAATAGACTCCTGGCTGTCTTCAAGAAGGCACTGGACAGGCACCTAAAGTCAGTACCTGACCAGCTGGGCTGTGGTTTGCATGTCAGGTTGCGTGCAACCAACAGTACAGCCTGGTTGATCAGGCCTTGATCCACCATGAGGCCTGGTCTCAAACCGAGATGCAGGGGGCGTTGACCCCCGAAACCCTTTGCAGGTATACCCACTTCTGGGTATACATGTAATAAAAAATTGGTAAGCACAAAAAAAAACACTAGTGTGGAATGTATTTTGGAAAAACTAATCATAATGCTTAAATATTACTTAAGATTTAGACATTATTAAGGAGCTCTTATACAGTTAACTACAATCATATGTACAATAAGAAAGGTGGCTAATGAACAAATGGTACAATTTCAAAAGTATGACTTAATACTTCAAACTGATTCAATGGTCTTCAGTTTTGTGGAGTTTGAATAAAGATGAAGATAGTGAGTTACTTTAGTTAAAATATAAATACAATGGGACAAGATGTGTTAAATAAGAACATAATAGTATATGTTGAAATTTAACGTAGCACCTTTTTTTTTTTTCTTTGTGTTATAAAATTCAAATGGAATATTACTTGAACAAAAATTATACAAGAAAATTACTAATTTCTGTACCCACATCCAACTCTTAGTAATAAATTAACCCTTAAACGGTCCAAACAGATCGACGTTCAAATTCGTAGTGCTACAAAAGTAGATCTACTTTTTTTTTAACATATTTTCAAATGTAACAAAAAAAAATGTAGATAAAAGTTTTTTTACACGTTTTCAAATGTAAAACAAAAAAGAAGCTCTACATTTTTTTACATACTTTCAGATGTTGAAAAAACGTATATATACGTTTGGACCATTTAAGGGTTAAAGTAAAGAGAACAAGAGCTAAATGGAGTAAATGCAGTGTGACCATAGAATCAACTGCACTAAACCATCAAGTAATTTTCAGCACTAGTTTTGTTCATATTGGATTTATAACCACTCTTTTAACTCAAGATAGTCATTGTCTTTTCATTCAGGCCCTATGGTCTATGGAATTTGTTTTTGTCCAGTGAACAAACACAGTGAACTCAAAGCTTCTGGTGTGGCTGACTCCAAGACACTGACAGAAGAGCAAAGAGAGAAGATTTTTGGCGTAATTCACGAAAACTGTGACTATGTTGGTTGGTCAGTTGAAGTTATATCACCTTTATATATTTCCAACTGCATGTACAAAAGGTAAGATAAGTTACTGGAACTCAGTATACTATGTATTGTAGTTAGTTGAATAAATACAAATTTCTTCTTTACAAAATTGTTACATACTTTATATAAGAACATACAGCACTGTGACTAGGAGAGTAAAAATGAGCTTGCTGCCATGTACATACTAGTACTGTAATATTCTTGAGTTCCTGTATTCAACCCATATGAGTGTGCCTTACTTATATAATTAGTGAGACATTTATGTATTGGGAAATATGCAGGTGAATACACAGATAATACATGATACTAGATTTTGTGCTTGCTCAGTTATTTTAGATTCGGTATGGCCCATACACTGGTATAATATTTACTTTTTTTTTTTTTTTTTTTAGTCTCAAAATTCAAATCTTTATTTACTTAAACTGTAATATAATAAAAGTATTATTTATTTATTTTAAGAGACTGCCTGAATTACCCTAAAGAAAGTAATAATCATAAGTATCATACTTTTTCAGACCAAAGGTATCGTTAAATGAGGTGTCTCATAATGCAGCCATAGGCTTGATAAAACGTGCCATTGCCGCTGGAGTGAATGTGTCAGAAGTGTATGTGGATACTGTTGGCCCGCCAGAGAAGTACCAGGTTAGTGTATGTGCGTTTAGAAGCCCTAGTGTAATATTCATTTTATTACTGTGCAGTTAAAGGTAAGACATTTTCAGTAGGCTAAATGTGTGAAATGGGTAAAATTGGCATTACAGTACAGGCCTATATTTTATTCTGTGAGGATTGCTAGGTCGTGTAGCTAGTTCCCCACACACACCATGGCATTAATAATGCCCAAAGTTCTGTCTGGTTGCAAGTTTAAATGGGTATTGGAGAGTTCATTCTGTGTTGGTCCTGGTAAGTATGTACTACAGGTACTGTGCTGATTTACCATCAACGGGTGGTCTAGCATATCTTTTAGTCAGGACAAAATTACAAGACTACTTTTTATTTTTACCAGACTACTTTACTAGACTGACAAAGATGTCTTGGTGAGTAGTGTGTGCTTACTTATTCTTTACTTTGCAGTTATTGTTGGTGATTCCTTGAATCTGTACAATTCTTAGCATATTTTGATAACAGATAACCCAGGCCATGGCTAGAGTTACTAACTATATAAGTAACTTGTCAGTAGCAATGGCTGTTGACAAGTTAATTCAGATGTCAGGGGAATTAATCAAGGGAGGGGGGAGGCAAGAATAATGTTCCTTTGTGACAGATTTTTATTTGATGCATGAAAAGTACACAGACCAGATATATTTAATAAGATGGCCAAAATGACTCTGTCATAGCAATGGGCCTTCAGCTGAAAATCCTTTGGCCCAGATTTCTTCCCAGCAGCATTACAGACAGAAATCCTGACAACCCTCATCCTCCAGACCTTTGTGATTAGCTCTACAGTTCCAGTAAAATTCTCAAATTTACTACTTAGGGAGTGGTAGTATTGCAGCATTCTTTTATGTACAGTAATTAACCCTTTCAGGGCTGAGAGGCCCTCTCCTAAACTTGTTCTCAGGGTCAAAAAATTTTCAGAAAAATAAATTATCTTTTCTTATGAAATGATAGAGAATCTTTTCCCGATCATAATGACACCAAAAGTATGAAATTTGAATTACGGAATTATGCTCTCGTGAAGTTAGCGGTCTCGACGATGTTTACGCATCGGCAATTTCGCCCACTTTGAGCCCTATTTTCGGCCAATTCCTGTGTACTAGACAAAAATCATATTTATTTCGCTAGAACTCCATTTTTTCTATCGAATGAGTACAAGAAACCACCCATTTACCAATTTCAACTATCCAATAAAGTGGTTAGAAATTGGCAATTTTGCAAATTTCACACAAATTTCAGAAGATGCCAATTTCCAAATAGGGTCCAGAATAAACAAGACAGACATTCCTGGCACTAAAATAACAAGTTCTCTGTTCGTTAGTCATGTCCCAAGGCCCCTCTTCTATTTCTTTTGCTTTCCACTTTGAATTTTTCTCACAAAAAAATAGAAGATTCTGTTATGCAGACTACTGCATTAGTTTAGAAATGGTATAAATAATATCAGCGCACTTGTGAAAGAATATTAGACTCGCCAGTTGACGTGTATTGGACGCTTGGCATGATTTGTTTACTTTTGAGCTTTGGTAAAAAGCAAACATTTCTGCTACTTTGAACTCCATTTCAAGGTACTTTTCATTGTGAAACCAATCAAAATCATCTCAATTTCTGTAATATCTTCCATTCTATAAAACGAGATCAGGAAAACTAGAATACAACCATAAATACCATACGACAATACAGTGCAAAGTCGTTGTTTTAATCCAAAAACACGGTCAAAGTTTTTTTTTTTTTTTTTTTTTTTTTTTTCCTCATTACAACACTGTGTGCTGCAGGATTTTTTTTATACTGTACACATTGACCACATACACCTATTCTTTCATATGTAGGCCTACCAGCTTTCTCTCGTTAGATTTGAAGGCATTAGAATGTAGGCATTCTAATACGTCAATAACCCTGGTGCGTAAGCCGTACTAGTACGTCGAAAACCCTGAAAGGGTTACTAAACCTGTTTCATATATAATGTTCAATTTAAGTTTTCAGCAGACCATGGGAGTCAGAAGTGCATTCTTGAATTATTATTGTGATCTCTGTTGGTCTAGCTAAATTGATATACCAGCAAAGCCAGGGAACCAAGGGTGCTGGAAAATCAGTGTTATACCTGTATACTTATATTTCAAGTTTCTTTTAGATACTGTACATTTCCCCTATTTAAACTGTAATTGTTTACCAAGTTTGTACTGAATTATGTTATTGATATTAATTTAATTAAATTAATTTTTTATTAAAACAAAACTTTTGTGATTTTTCCCAGGCTAAATTGCAAGAGATTTTTCCTACAGTCAAGGTGACTGTTGAGAAGAAAGCTGATGCACTGTTTCCTTGCGTATCAGGTGCAAGTATTTGTGCTAAGGTGAGTACTATACAGTGGAACCTCGGTTTTCGTCTTTAATTCGTTCCATAAAGTCTGACGAAAAGCGAATTTGATGAAAACGGAAGCAATGTTTCCCATAAGAAATAACGTAAATCCAATTAATCCGTTCCAGACACCCAAAAGTATTAACAAAAAGTACATTTTATAGAGAATGACTATAGTTTTACATACAGAAAACAATGAAAAATAAATATAAATGACTAATGAAATGGATAAATTAACATTTAACATAACTTTTACCTTTTATTGAAGACTTATTGACATATGGAAGACGGTGAGGAGGGGAGAGGGAGGAGAGGTTGTTTGGAAAGGGAATCCCCTTCCATAAGGACTTAAGGTATCAAGTCTCTATCTGGGGTTACTTCCCTTTCTTTTACTGGCACTAGGACCAGCTTGAGTCACTGTACCCCTGTCGCACAAAAAATCTGTCCAGAGAGGTCTGTTTCTGGTGTCTCTAAGATTTGCCTAAAATGGGACAAGGCATTGTCATTGAACGTGTTGCAGACACGGCTTGCAACAACTTTGTTAGGGTGATATTTCTCCACAAATCTTTGCAACTCTCTCCACTTTGCACACATGTCCTTAAATCGCTGAAGAAGGCACATTCTCCCCTCTCTCTTTCTCCTCTGAAGCAATTCTATCGTGTTTCTCGGAACTTTCTTTGGCCCCATGGTGGCTTATTTAGCAGTTGCACTCAATAAACAAGCACAAAAAACAATGGATAATTATGAAATGTTTCATGTGAAAGAACAGTACGTATAATGTTCACTCAACGAGAAATGAAGCCAGACTGACTCAGAGTGCGTGTGTGGGATGCTTTGTGTGGGTACGTGCGAGCAGGCAGACACGTTCAGTACGGCGGATGAAAACTGGGACAAAATTTTGACAGTCATCGAAAACTGAGGTTCCACTGTATTTAATATTGTGGTTAATTAAGGAAGTGGTATATAATTTGTTCACTATCTGTTGTCAGTCTTACTTTTTCTTCAGTTTCTACTACTGTTTTAAAATTTTAATTTTGTGTTAAGAGGTAGAGGCCTGAACATTAGCAAGCATATGTAAGCACATTAGATTGAAAGTGCGTGATCTTTCAAATTTAATGCACTGCTGGGATATAGACATAGTACAGTACATCATCAGTTATCTAGTAATTGATTATTTGGTGTTTAATATTATCCAGTGATCTTGTTTGCTGTACCACTTAGGATGGGCCAGATAATTGATGAACTACTGTCTTATTTATGAAAGGTATTGGAGAAACTGGCAAGCTAGACTTAGGATCTGGGGGTAGGAAGTCAGTACCTGTACTTTAGAAGTTTGGTGGGGATATAGTTTGATTAATCAATATGACCCTGATGTCTGTGCCCTTGTGGAAAGTCAGCAAGGGAGTAGTATTTTTTTTTTTTTTTTTTTTTTTTTTTGGGGGGGGGGGGGAGGTTCACCTTGTGTTGGTAGAAGATGAGCCATTAAAAAATAGTGTATTAATACATTAGAACTTATGTTAATCAGAGGTCTGTTAACCAAAACTTAGATAACTTAGCCTACTTGATGTGGTTTTTGTTTACAGGTCACTAGCTAACCAGATATTGTCATAGCTATTTTTTCATATGTTGTAATTATGTAAAAATGAAAAATATGGGAGAAAATTTAAAATAAGCCTAGTTAAAAGCAGGGACAGTTCTGGATGAACCAAGTTGTGATGGAGATGAGAGCCAGCAGGCTTCCTCCAGTAACTGCCTGGCTGATTGGGCCAGCACCAGACAAGTCTGGCTCAGGGCAGGGCTGTGGGAGTAGGAAAATTCATAAAACACTTCAAAAATACAGAGGTATGTAGTAGTGGCTTTTTTATGTAAGAAACTTTGAAGTGTATTGTATAGTATGCTATACTATTAACAATTACAGTGTCTTGTAATACATTACACAGTAAGTAAGTTCATTCAGGTATACACAAATACAATTAATAGATTATCATACAAAGCAGCATATGTGTAGAGAACCTAGGATAACCCAAAAAAGTCGGATGGCATGACTTATTTCCGATGGGGTTCTTTTAATACCTCATTATACTATAAAGGATATAATGTCTTATTATAATATACAGGATATATGCTAGGAATAAGGTAAAAAGAGTTATTTACATTTACATATGTGTTAGCTAAAAAAAAAAAAAAATCTTTCTCCTCCCTCTCTGTCACTACATTCATTAGGTACCTTTTGGCTCTCTTCTTGAATTGGCTCATGCTGTGACTGGCTTTGACAGGTGCAGGCAATCTGTTCCTTTCCTTTATTGCTGTACAATAAAAGGTGTTTGAAGCCTGGCCACTGACTGTGAGTGCTACAAAGTTGTGCTCTCTCCCTCTAGTACTATGATTGCTTCAGTTCCCAGCCTTGACAAAATTAGCAGCAAGATATTCTGGACACTGAGCAATTTTATAAACTTGATTTAACTTCAATTGTTTTACAGTCTTCAATATTCAGCATGTCTAATTGTTGTAATTCATCCTGACCTACATGTTCTCTTGGACCCAGGTCCAGTATGAATCTTACCATTTTGTTCTGTGTGATTTGCAGTTTATCTTTGTTTTTTTGTCAAGGCAGAGTACCATGAAGAGCATGTGTAGTCCATATGACATTGTATAAGGGCTAGACATAGGGTCCTGCGAGCCTCCGTAGGTAAACATTGTGCTTGTCTGTAGACGAACTTTAGTCTGGCATTTGCTTTCCTTACTACACTGTTCCTGATCAGTTCTCTTGACATGCATGGGTCAAAGGGGATTCCCAGATAGTTAACTGAGGAAACTGAAGTGATGGGTTCCCCATTACACCGGACATAAAAATTTACCCTTCTCAGCTTTTGTTTCCTGCCAAAGAGTATGGCCTCCGTTTTCCTGAGATGTAACGATTGTTGTCCACAAACCATTTGCTGCAGGACTCCAGTTCTAGTGTTATTACATTACCTATATCTTGTGGGTCTTTAGCTGACACTAACGGAGCACTGTCATCTGCATACAGTAGGAGTTTGCATTTGACACTGATGGGCATGTCATTTACATAACATAAGAATAATAAGGGACCCAGAATACTACCTTGGGGAACGCCACATACTATCGGCAGGGATTACAATTCTGTTTTGTTGATTTTGACAGTTCGTTTCCTGTTGCTAAGATAGGACTTAAACCAGCCTATGGAACCTATGCCGATAGCTTGAAGTTTCTTACATAGTATGTTGTGGTTGGCAGTATTGAAGGCTTTTTGCAAGTCAAAGGTTACCATTCCTGAGAGGTTCCCTATCGACATTTCAGTTCTCATGTAATCAGATTAATTAGGGAGGTGTTGGATGAGTAAGTGCTCCTTGACAGTACACTGCCCTCCATAGAATTTTGGATATTACACTAAATATACTAAGAAGCCTATAGTTGCTGACATCAGACCTATTATATATATTTTAACTACTGCACAAGCATTGTTAATTAATAATAGAAACTTGTGTTTTCTAAATTACGTAGACCATATATAGTATAACAATAGACCATGTATGGTATTATGAGGAGGGGGCAAAATTGTTGCTATTCATGGGGTCATCTGAATTGTGATGCCTACACTCTTCCTGCAAGATAGCTATTGAATGATGTTGAATGGGTTTCCTTCTTTGTTATTGGTCACCCTTGCTGGGAGATGGCTGATGTAAAAAAACAAGAAAACTTAAAATCAAAGATAGTTCTAGAATATCTTTATTCCTTTTAAGGTTAAGACTTGCTAATAGCTTTAGTATCATATTTATTAAGGAAGTATGGTAACACAGAGATAGTGGGCTATCAAAAAGTTGTCAGTTTTCATTAGTCTTTCCACTTAAGCTCTTTAGTTTATTTTTATACATGAAGTACATATATCTGTATGTTAGCAATTGTGCATATTAATCATAAGCAGATTGAGTGAACTATGCTTGCTTGCTTGTACTACTGTTGAAACACCCATTATCTTTAAAATCCTTTAATGTGAAGCACATTCAGTCCTGATTAATATTAAGTGGGACCTCAACCAAGGGCTTGCTTGCCCTCATAAACTTTAACAAGTATCTTACAACTAAGAATGCAGCATGAAATTAGGTCGAGAAAAATATGTGAAGCATGTGTGAAGTATTAATTTTTAAACTAGATGTGTAAATAAAAAAATTGGTAAGTACAAAGAATGAGGCTGATCACACAGCATTGTGCCACACTCTGAGTCCTTTGGGTTTAGTGCTTCCATGTGAATGTAATATTAGTAACCTGGCATTGCTTAATAAATTTTAGTTAATTATATAGGGAGGTTACACATTAATGCTGCATTAGTTAAAAATTATGAGCTGCATTGATAGTAATTTATGGAAATACTCGGACATTCTTTAACTGACATGATAAGTAAGATGTACTAAAAAAAAAAATAAAATTTTGATCACGCTATAATATTCTAGGTTGCCCGTGACAGAGCCTTGAAAAAATGGGAGTTTCCTGAAGGAATAGAAATTGACAATTGGGGCAGTGGATACCCAGGAGGTGAGTCAGTTGAATTTTTTCATACAACCTGTAAGAGTATTATTGTTAGTATTCTTTCTTTTAACACACTGGTCGTATCCCGCTGAGGCAGGGTGACCTTAAAGGAGAAATGAAAGTCTTCTTAAATTTAGTAATTTATACAGGAAAAGGGTTTACTAGCCCCTTTCTCCCAGCATTTTAGTTGCCTCTTATGACATGCATGGCTTACAGATGAAGAATTCTTATCCACCTCCCCATGGGGATAAAAGGAAATAAAAAAAAAAAAAAAAGCCAGTTCAGTGTTTAAATATATGTGCACGTACAGGGATGTGTAGTGTGACCTAAGTGTAAGTAAAAGTAGCAAGATATACCTGTTATTCTGCATGTTTATGACAAAAAAAAGACACCAACAATCCTACCATCATGTAAAACAACTACAGGTTTCCACTTTGCACTCACTTGGCAGGATGGTAATCCTTCCATGGGTGGTTGCTGTCAACCAAACTACTACCTATGATTATTATTATTTTAATTTTTTAATTTAATATTATAATTGATTTAATTTTTTTTTTTTAAATGTCAGCTTTCTCGCACTGAGGCAGGGTGACCTGAAAAAGAAGAAACTTTTTCTTTTTACATTTAGTAATTTATGCAGGAGGACCTACTGGCATTTTAGTCACCTCTTGCAAAATGCATGGCTTACAGAAAATAAGGATTCTTCTCCACTACCCAATAAGTTTATTTTTTATTATTATTAACACACTGGCCGATTCCCACCAAGGCAGGGTGGCCCGAAAAAGAAAAACTTTCACCATCATTCACTCCATCACTGTCTTGCCAAAAGGGTGCTTTACACTACAGTTTTTAAACTGCAACATTAACACCCCTCCTTCAGAGTGCAGGCACTGTACTTCCCATCTCCAGGACTCAAGTCCGGCCTGCCAGTTTCCCTGAATCCCTTCATAAATGTTACTTTGCTCATACTCCAACAGCATGTCAAATATTAAAAACCATTTGTCTCCATTCACTCCTATCAAACACGCTCACGCATGCCTGCTGGAAGTCCAAGCCCCTCGCACACAAAACCTCCTTTACCCCTTCCCCCTACAACCTTTCCTAGGCCGACCCCTACCCCACCTTCCTTCCACTACAGACTGATACACTCTTGAAGTCATTCTGTTTCGCTCCATTCTCTCTACATGTCCGGACCACCTTAACAACCCTTCCTCAGCCCTCTGGACAACAGTTTTGGCAATTCCGCACCTCCTCCTAACTTCCAAACTACGAATTCTCTGCATTATATTCACACCACACATTGCCCTCAGACATGACATCTCCACTGCCTCCAGCCTTCTCGCTGCAACATTCATCACCCATGCTTCACACCCAAATAACAGGGTTGGTAAAACTATACTCTCGTACATTCCCCTCTTTGCCTCCAAGGACAAAGTTCTTTGTCTCCACAGACTCCTAAGTGCACCGCTCACCCTTTTTCCCTCATCAATTCTATGATTCACCTCATCTTTCATAGACCCATCCGCTGACACGTCCACTCCCAAATATCTGAATACATTCACCTCCTCCATACTCTCTCCCTCCAATCTGATATCCAAACTTTTTGTTATCCTCATAACCTTACTCTTTACTGTATTCACTTTTAATTTTCTTCTTTTGCATACCCTACCAAATTCATCCACCAACCTCTGCAACTTCTCTTCAGAATCTCCCAAGAGCACAGTGTCATCAGCAAAGAGCAACTGTGACAACTCCCACTTTGTGTGATTCTTTCTTTTAACTCCACGCCTCTTACCAAGACCCTCGCATTTACTTCTCTTACAACCCCATCTATAAATATATTAAACAACCACGGTGACATCACACGTCCTTGTCTAAGGCCTACTTTAACTGAGAAATAATCTCCCTCTTTCCTTCGTACTCTAACTTGAGCCTCACTATCCTCGTAAAAACTCTTCACTGCTTTCAGTAACCTACCTCCTACACCAACATCTGCCACATTGTCCCCCTATCCACCCTGTCAAATGCCTTTTCCAAATCAATAAATGCCACAAAAACCTCTTTAGCCTTATCTAAATACTGTTCACTTATATGTTTCACTGTAAACACCTGGTCCACACACCCCCTACCTTTCCTAAAGCCTCCTTGTTCATCTGCTATCCTATTCTCCGTCTTACTCTTAACCCTTTGACTGTTTATGCCGTATATATACGCCTCTGCAAAAGCAGTGATAATGTGTGAGTGTGGTGAAAGTGTTGAATGATGATGAAAGTATTTTCTTTTTGGGGATTTTCTTTCTTTTTTGGGTCACCCTGCCTCGGTGGGAGACGACCAACTTGTTGAAAAAAAAAAAAAATATACGTCTTACGCGCCACTGTTTCTGACGTATTAACACATGTAAATTCTAGCGGCTTCAAATCAAGCGGGAGAAAGTTGGTAGGCCCTCATGTGAGAGAATGGGTCTGTGTGGTCAGTGTGCACCACATAAAAAAAAACCCTGCAGCACGCAGTGCATAATGAGAAAAAAAAACTGAGTTTTTTTTTTTTTTTTTTTTTTTAAACGCCGACTTTGAGGTGTATTTTAGTATAGTAATTATCGTTGTATTCTCGTTTTCATGGTCTCAAGTGATAAAATGGAAAACATATTACAGAAATATAGATGATTTTGATTACTTTCACGATGAAAACGACATTGAAATTGAGCTCAAAGTAGCGGAAATGTTCGATTTTTACCAATGTTCAGGAGTAAGCAAATCACACCACAAGTCCAATACACGTCAACTGGGGAGTTTGATATTCTTTCACTAGTGCACTTATATTATTTATACCATTTTTACAATAATGCAGTAGTCTGCATACCAGTAAATTTTGTATTTTTTTGTATGAATAAAAAATCAAAATAGAAAGCAATAGTAATATAAGAGGGGCCTAGAGATGTGACTAATGAACATTGGAAATGTTATTTTAGTGCCAAGAATGTCTACATTGTTTATTCGGGACCCTATTTTGAAATTGGCATCTTTTTTAATTTGTGTGAAATTGGCCAAATTGCCAATTTCTGACCACTTTATTGGGTAGTTCAAATCGGTAAATGGGCGGTTTCTTGTACTCGACTGATAGATAAAATGGAGTTCTAAAGAAATAGCTATGAGTTTGGTTGACTGGAACAACGGAATTGGCTGTACACAGGGCTCAAAGTCGGCAAAATTGCCGATACATATGTCGCTGAGACCGCTAACTTCGCGGGAGTGTAATTCCGTGAGTTTTCGACCAAATTTCATACTTTTGGTGTCATTACCATCGGGAAAAGATTCTCTATCATTTCATAAGAATTTTTTTTTTTTTTTTTTTTTTTTTTTTTTTTTTTTTTCCGAAAATTTATCGACATAGAATGACAGTTTCAGAAAGGGGCCTGCGACAGTCAAAGGGTTAATTCTTTCAATAATAACTCTACCATACATTTTACCAGGTATACTCAACAGACTTATCCCCCTATAATTTTTGCACTCTCTTTTGTCCCCTTTGCCTTTATACAAAGGAACTATGCATGCTCTCTGCCAATCTCTAGATACCTTACCCTCTTCCATACAATTATTAAATAATAGCATACATTTATTAAATAATAATATAATAAAGTTATATTATTTTTTTATCAACACTCCGGCTGTATTATTATTATTATTACTTAGTGCTAAACCCATGTGTGTCATTCAGACCAGAAAATGGGAAAGACTTAACTGTCCATTAATTGTTTGAAAGAGACTACTCCTGTAGCTAGGGTTCTCCCATTTGACAGGAAAACTAGGTGTGTATTGTTCAAGAAAGGTATCTCTGCATTCTTTCCCAAGGCCCCTCCACTTCAATGCAAGTGAAAGTAATACAGCCTCTCCTCACTTGGCGACCTACTCGTTGACCGATGACTCGGACTTACAACAGGCGCTCTGACTAGTGTGCATACCTAAATAATGTATATTAGAGCTGATTTCCTCTATTCTGTTTATTACAGTATACAGTACACTACTGTATAAGCATAAAAATATACAGATCGATTGTCACTAATCCGGCAATCAGTTATCCGGTTCCATCAGTAATCTGGCACTAATTTTGGCTAGCATAATTTCAAATTTCATCATTATACTGACTCAGAAATTGTGCAGATGGTTGTAAATCCACAGCAGCAAGCCATTGGAGGAGAAAGCAGTGATAAAAATGAAGATGCAGCAGAAAGTCTCTATTGATAGGTTAATTAACTGTATTCTAACCTAACCACTCTGTAATCTGGCACACTACAGGCCCCAATGATGCCAGATTAGTGATGGCCGACCTGTACTATAAATGTTATAAATGGTACAAAAGTGACATTAAAACAATATCAAAGATGGTTGACACAAACCCCCTACCATTATAGTATGCTCCTTGCTTAGCGATGAATTCATTTACCAATGGAGTCTTAGGAACGCAACTCCATCGTTCAGTGAGGAGAGGCTGTAGTGCAGGGTAGTGAGAATTTTTAACACGGCAAAATATTTTTTTTTTTTTTTTTAACACTCGCGGTCTCCAGCTGAGGTAGTGACCCAGAAAAGAAGAAACAAAACAGATAAGGATTTTTCTCAACTTACCCATGGAGATAAAAATGTGTCTGCTTGTGTATATGCATGCATGTATGTACACCTGCATATGTTTGTGTGTATAAGAATTTTTTTTTTTCAACAAGTCGGCCGTCTCCCACCGAGGCAGGGTGACCCAAAAAAGAAAGAAAATCCCCAAAAAGAAAATACTTTCATCATTCAACACTTTCACCACACTCGCACATTATCACTGTTTTTTGCAGAGGTGCTCAGAATACAACAGTTTAGAAGCATACAAATATAACGATACACAACATATCCCTCCAAACTGCCAATATCCCAAACCCCTCCTTTAAAGTGCAGGCATTGTACTTCCCATTTCCAGGACTCAAGTCCGACTATATGAAAATAACCGGTTTCCCTGAATCCCTTCACTAAATATTACCCTGCTCACACTCCAACAGATCGTCAGGTCCCAAGTACCATTCGTCTCCATTCACTCCTACCTAACACGCTCACGCACGCTTGCTGGAAGTCCAAGCCCCTTGCCCACAAAACCTCCTTTACCCCCTCTCCAACCCTTTCGAGGACGACCCCTACCCCACCTTCCTTCCCCTATAGATTTATATGCTTTCCATGTCATTCTACTTTGATCCATTCTCTCTAAATGACCAAACCACCTCAACAACCCCTTTTCTGCCCTCTGACTAATACTTTTATTAACTCCACACCTTTTCCTAATTTCCACACTTCGAATTTTCTGCATAATATTTACACCACACATAGCCTTTAAACTGGACATCTCTACTGCCTCCAACCGTCTCCTCGCTGCTGCATTTACCACCCAAGCTTCACACCCATATAAGAGTGTTGGTACTACTATACTTTCATACATTCCCTTCTTTGCCTCCATAGATAACGTTTTTTGACTCCACATATACCTCAACGCACCACTCGCCTTTTTTCCCCTCATCAATTCCATGATTAACCTCATCCTTCATAAATCCATCCGCCGACACGTCAACTCCCAAGTATCTGAAAACATTCACTTCTTCCATACTCCTCCTCCCCAATTTGATATCCAATTTTTCTTTATCTAAATCATTTGACACCCTCATCACCTTACTCTTTTCTATGTTCACTTTCAACTTTCTACCTTTACACACATTCCCAAACTCATCCACTAACCTTTGCAATTTTTCTTTAGAATCTCCCATAAGCACAGTATCATCAGCAAAAAGTAACTGTGTCAATTCCCATTTTGAATTTGATTCCCCAAAATTTAATCCCACCCCTCTCCCGAACACCCTAGCATTTACTTCCTTTACAACCCCATCTATAAATATTTTAAACAACCATGGTGACATTACACATCCCTGTCTAAGACCTACTTTTACCGGGAAGTAGTCTCCCTCTCTTCTACACACCCTAACCTGAGCCTCACTATCCTCATAAAAACTCTTTACAGCATTTAATAACTTACCACCTATTCCATATACAGTGGACCCCCGCTTAACGATCACCTCCAAATGCGACCAATTATGTAAGTGTATTTATGTAAGTGCGTTTGTACGTGTATGTTTGGGGGTCTGAAATGGACTAATCTACTTCACAATATTCCTTATGGGAAAAAATTCGGTCAGTACTGGCACCTGAACATACTACTGGAATGAAAAAAGTTCGTTAACCGGGGGTCCACTGTACTTGCAACATCTGCCACATTGCTCCTCTATCCACTCTATCATATGCCTTTTCTAAATCCATAAATGCAATAAAAACTTCCCTACCTTTATCTAAATACTGTTCACATATATGCTTCAATGTAAACACTTGATCTACACATCCCCTACCCACTCTGAAACCTCCTTGCTCATCCGCAATCCTATAAGAATATGTGTATATATTGTGTGCATGTATGTCTTTGCTAGGGGTGTGTTAAAATTTCTGTACTGGTATTTGTATCAGCTTATTTAGGTGGTATTAGTATTGGCAGAAATTTTGGTATTGTCCCTTACCTGGTATGTACACTTATTTGTAGGGGTATGCCAAAGTATTGGTAAGTATCAGCTAATCTTGATGGTATTGTCCCATCCTTATTATTGTGTGTATGTATGTACGGTACATTGTATGTAAACATGTAAGGATATATACCTGTGTATATTTACACATGCATGTTTACATGGGCATGTATGTGTACATATGTCTGTGCATATTCATACATGTATGTGTGTGCTCTTAGGAAAAATCCAATAATGCTTCTTTTGGTCTTAGTATCTTGACTGGAATAGAAGTGTGAAAGATCACTTTTGTTTGTAGGTTTTTGGTAAACATGAAATCTTAGATTATCTACTTTGTGAATGAGGACATCTAGAAAAGGTAGTTTGTCATTGGACTCTTCTTTGAATGTAAATTGGCTAGCTGGTTCAACTGCGTTGAGCCTTGCCTGAAAATGTACATAGGAGGATAACAAAGTTGGCCCCGTGTAGTGGAAATCTTCCCTATGAGGATAGACTGAGGGACCTGAATCTGCACTCTAGAAAGGCGTAGAATTAGGGGGGATATGATTGAGGTGTTTAAATAGAAAACAGGAATAAATAAACCGCTAATGCAGCGGTACTCGGTTATACCCATTATTCATTTATTCAGACTTCTTACAATAAATATATTCACCACTCGCTAAAAGCTGAGGATAAAAATATTTAAATGCAAGTAATGTGTGTACTATTCATACATTTTTTAGGCCTAACTCTTAACCTTTAAACGGTCCAAACATATTTTATTTTTCCTGCCTTCAAATTTGGCACGATTGACCTGAGATGTCTTGTCAGCATAGAATGGGTCCTAACACTGAGTGTGCGTGGTATTAAAAAAATCTGGGACCACTTAGTACCTTGTGGGAGCGCCAGTTAAATTGAGCGCCAGCTAGAGCAAACACCAAGGATTCGCTGATGTAATGTCATATTAACACTCCTCTTTTAAGAGGAAAGTAATGTTAACCCCAAGTTTAGGGTCTGTCTATCTCTGTATCTCTGTCATCTCTCTCTCTGTCTCTATCTGTCTTTCTCTGTATCTCTTTCAATCTGTCTCTTTCTATCTCTGTCTCACAGGTACACATAAATACAAGTATACATAGTGTAAATTACATAGGATAACCCAAAAAATCCAGACAAAGTGCTATACTCTGCTTGAAGATGTGAGTAAACGTGATGACAGTCTTGTGGCTCTCTGAGACAGAGCTAGATGGATAGACAGATAGACAGGGAGCTTAACAGACAGACATTTTTGTGTACCAGCGAAAACAAAGCGAGGGGGATGCTCATCAAATATCACCTCTAATCTTTTTTTATCGGCTGCACCCTCCCCCACCCTAGTGTATGCTCATCAAACGTCAGCTCTTATCAGTTGTTATCTTATGTCACTGTCAGGGGTGGACTTTGTTTTTCATGCTTCAAGGGGAGGTATTATCCCCTTTTATTATTATTACTATGTATTATTTTTATCATCATCATCATCTCCAAAACATTGCTGGGACATGTAAATACTTTGTAGATATTCCAAGACAGTAGTAAATGGCTAAGACAGGTGTAAATGTCCACCTGTCAGTGTGTTTGTGACAATTTGAGCACAATTTCAGTACTTAATACTAGTGTCAGAACAAAGATTGGCTATAAAATGACAAGAACTACTACAAATTGTAATTATCAAAACATAAAAATTACATAAAATAATATGAAAAATAGAAAAAAAGGTATATCGGCAACGCTTCTGCAAGCGGCAGGACGATGTTGCTGTCACGTGAGCATCCAGTGCCAACTTCTCGGCCTCATATCTCGGTAAGTACTGACCCTAAAATTTTTTTATTTTAAAATACTTTAAAAAATTTTTTTTTTTTTTTTTTCTATAAAAAGAAATTTTTTTTTTTTTTTTTTTAAATATTGGGGGCACTGCTCGAATGATACGTTATACATTTGGACCATTTAAGGGTTAATATATGATAGTGCATACATGTTATCAGGCTTTTATATGTATTTGAAAGTGGAAAAAAGCTTTCACTTTACACCAGTCTTTGCTTTACAGCAGTATCCCAGAACCTAACCTACCCTACTGTAAAAGCAGGGTGTGCCGGTACATAATTGCAAATAAGTGATCATGTCATAAAATTACCATAAACATGAACTTAAATATTTATTCCACAGTAAAAACATAAATAGAATATTGAAAACTAGGTTTTGTTCCATAGTTCATGTTAGATGTATAATACAGATCTCGTTCTCTCTTCCAGATGCTGTAACAAAGAACTTTTTATTGAACTCGCTTAATCAAGTATTTGGTTTTCCGGGTATTGTGAGATTTTCCTGGTCCACTGCTGAGAAAATCCTTGAAGAAAAGTGTGTTCCTGTGACTTGGTGAGTTACACACTTATTTTTTAAGATGTCTTGTATAGCTAAGAGTACACTTTGTAATGTGTGTTTATTTCTCGTGATTTGAGTTGTTTTGGTGATTACGCTAACCTTCAGTACTTTTCTATCTTCTTTGGGTTCTGTGTTGTTTCTAGACATGATCTTTTTTTTATTCTTAAATATAATGTAGAAAGAAAACTGATTAAAGTTATCAGTGCTATGTTGATACCAGACTGTGGTGGCATGTCGACACCAGCAAGCTGTGGAAAAGACACTTATGTACAGTTTATTACATTTATTAAAGAAAATGTTTTGCCATGAGTGGTTTCTTAGTCATATAGAACTGGTAAAGCCACTCATGGCAAAATGTTTCCTTTTAATAAATGTCCTGAAATGTACACAAGTGTCTTTATCCACAAGACTAATTAAATCAGTGTCTAGATTATTTTTTGTAAGGACTAGTCTTAGCAGAAGTTGCTCATGCACAGTACAGGGACTGCAGGGTAGTTTTGTGTACCTATTCTTGCTTGGTAGCACTACCAGAGTTAGATAGGAATGTGTGCTATGAGGAATGAGTCATTTTATACTACCAGTTACAAATACAAAATGGGAATTGACAGTTACTTTTTGCTAATGATACTGTGCTTATGTGACATTCTAAAGAAAAATTGCAAAGGTTAGTGGATGAGTTTGGGAGTGTGTGTAAAGGTAGAAAGTTGAAAGTGAACATAGAAATGAGTAAGGTGATGAGGGTATCAAATGATTTAGATAAAGAAAAATTGGATATCAAATTGAAGAGGATGAGTATGGAAGAAGTGAATGTTTTCAGATATTTGGGAGTTGACGTGTCAGTGGATGGATTTATGAAAGATGGGGTTAATCATAGAATTGATGAAGGAAAAAAGGTGAGTGGTGCATTGAGGTATATGTGGAGACAAAAAAATGTTATCTATGGAGGCAAGGAAGGGAATGTATGAAAGCATAGTGGTACAAATGCTCTTATATGGGTGTGAAGCTTGGGTTGTAAATGCTGCAGCGAGGAGACGGTTGGAGCCAGTGGAGATGTCCTGTCTAAGGGCAATGTGTGGTGTAAATATTATGCAGAAAATTCGGAGTGTGGAAATTAGGAGAAGGTTTGGAGTAATAAAAGTATTAGTCAGAGGGCTGAAGAGGGGTTGTTGAGGTGGTTTAGTCATCTAGAGAGGGTGGATCAAAGCAGAATGAGATGGAGAGCGTATAAATCTGTAGGGGAAGGAAGGCAGGGTAGGGGGGTCATCCTTGAAAAGGTTGGAGGGAGGGGGTAAAGGAGGTTTGGTGGGCGAGGGGTTTGGACTTCCAGCAAGCATGCGTGAGCGTGTTAGGAGTGAATGGAGACGAATGGTATTTGGGACCTGACGAGCTGTTGGAGTGTGAGCAGAGTAGTATTTAGTGAAGGAATTCAGGGAAACCAGTTATTTTTATATAGCCAGACTTGAGTCCTGGAAATGGGAAGTACAATGCCTGCACTTTAAAGGAGGGGTTTGGGATATTGGCAGTTTGGAGGGATATGTTGTGTATCTTTATACGTATATGCTTGTAAGCTGTTGTATTTTTCAACACCTCTGCAAAAACAGTGATTGTGTGAGTGAGGTGAAAGTGTTGAATGATGATGAAAGTATTTTCTTTTTGGGGATTTTCTTTCTTTTTGGGTCACCCTGCCTCGGTGAGAGGCAGCCGACTTGTTAAAAAAAAAAAAAAGTTACAATATTACAAAGTAAAGTATGGTGCTCTTACAGAAGTATACAGTACTGTACATTTTTTTTACATAGAAAATACCATATTAGTTTTAACAAAAATGTTCAACTTTACAATAGATGAAGCTTTGTCTAAAACATATGTTAAACAATATAGAACAGTTACTGATATGACAGCTGTACTAATAGGTTTCTCCTAACTTTAAACTTAATTCTTGGTGCTCTTTGCATTTACAAACATAATGCAAAATGCTGCAAGTTCATAACCTGTACAACTTTTGATTTTATCAGGAAAGAAATCATCTGCACGCATGAAAACCAATGCATGTAAAGTATTACGATGAATTGCAGTACAAAGAGGTCCATGCCTCGCCCACAAGGACCAAATAGGATCTGTCCCTTGCTGCTTTCACTGTGCCAAATAGGGTCTGTTCCTTAATGCTTTCATTGTTCAAATCTGAGTGCATGGGTGTTTCTTTTACTAAGAGATACAAAAGCAAATTTGACACGTCAGAAATAGTCACCTTTAGCTTACACCTAAAAGGTATTTTAAGGAATGTCGGTGCCTAGTTGGCTTTTAGTTTAAACGTCTTGACATTTGAAATTGGTCAAGTACACTTGGGTACCATGTATGTCTCATTTATATTGGATGGACAGTTAAACCTCTACCATTCCTAGCTCTTAATGACTCTCATGGGTTTAGCATTTCACATACTCTATTTAGTGGTACATAAGGCACCCTAATTTTGGCAGGCATATTCTGGGGGAAAAAAAATGGCAATACTTGTTTCAAAATGATAAGCAGCCAGCCACTGGCTCATTATGTGGAGAGCATGGCTGAAAGAGATGGGACCATGTGCAGCCTGTCATCTCCACTGCCAGCAACCACCAAGACAAACATGGCTACCTGTTGCTAACAAATGGCTACTTTACAGTTACTTACAGTTGCTGAAGCTGATTTGCTTATTATGTTCTAGTAATGTGTTAATTACATATATAGATATATAATCTGACGGAAAAGTTTTTAACCCTTAAACTGTCCAAACATAGATCTACGTTTTTTCATCATTTGAAAGTATGTAAAAAACATAGATCTTTTTTATTTTTTTTATAATATTATTATTATTATTATTATTATTATTATTATTATTATATATAAGTTGGCCGTCTCCCACCAAGGCAGGGTGACCCAAAAAGAAAGAAAATTCCCAAAAAGAAAATACTTTAATCATTCAACACTTTCACCTCACTCACACATAATCAGTTTTTTCAGAGGTGCTCAGAAACACAACAGTTTAGAAGCATATACGTATAAAGATGCACAACATATTCCTCCAAACTGCTAATATCCTGAAACCCCATCCTTTAGAGTGCAGTCGTTGTAAAAATACGTAATCTACTTTTGGAGCACTAACCATGTGAACGCATATTTGTTTGGACAGTTTAACCCTTAACCCTTTCAGGGTCCGTCCCGTAGATCTACGGCTTTACGTTCAGGGTCCAAACCGTAGATCTACGCCATGAGCTCAGCTCACTCTGATAAACTGTGAGTGGTACATTTGGCCCTAGATATGAGAGAATACATCTATGTGGTATGTGTGCACCACATAAAACAGATCCTGCAGCACACTGTGTATAATGAGAGAAAAAAAATGAAATCATGATTTTTCGATTAAAATAGCAACTTTGCAGTGTTTTTTCGTATGTTTTTTATAGTTGTATTTGCGATTTCTTGGTCTCATTTGATAGAATGGAAGACATATTACAGAAATAGAGATGATTTTGATTGGTTTTAGCACTGGAAATGGCTTGAAACTGAGCTCAAAGTAGCGGAAATGTTAAATTTTTGCCGATATTCAAGAGTAAACAAACGACCTCACACGTCTAATACACGCCAGCTGGTGGGTCTGATATACATTCGCAAATATGGTGATGATATTTATACAATTATTACAGTATTGCATAACAGTAAATCTTCTATTTTTTGGTGTGAATAAAAATTCATTATGTGAATAAAAAATCAAAATGGAATTTATTTGTATAGCCTCAAAACGTAACTAATGAACAGAGGAAATGTTAGTTTAGTGCCAGGAATGCTTACATTGTTCATTCTGGACCCTATTTTGAAATTGGAATATTTTGAACTTTGTGTTAAATTGGCCAAATTAACAATTTCTGATCACTTTATTTTGTAGTTGAAACAGTTGACTTGGCGATTTCTTGTGCTCAATCGATAGAATAGAAGTAATACTAGTGAAATAGCTAAGAATTTGGTTGATTGGAATAATGTAATTGGCCTAAAATGGGAGTCAAAGTCTGCAAAATCGCCGATTCGTAAATATCGCTGACACATCAAAATTCGCGAGAGCATAATTTCGTCAATTTTCCACCAAATTTCGTACTTTTTGTTTTATTACCTTCACAAAAAGATTCTCTATGATTTCATAAGAAAAAATAACAATTTTTTTTTTTTTTAATTCTTGGACACTGGTGCGTGACTCCAGATTTGGGCCTTGGACCCTGAAAGGGTTAAACGGTCCAAATAGATCGATGTTCAAATCCGTAGTGCTCCAAAAGTAGTTCTATGTTTTTTTACGTATTTTCAAATATAACAAAAAAAAAAATGATGTACATTTTTTTACATACTTTCAAATGTTTAAAAAAACGTAAATATACGTTTGGATCGTTTAAGGATTAAGGGGGGATGTTTGGAGTTTAGTTTACTGGTACTACACCATAGCACTGAAACCACCACTTGCAACTAACTCGAAGCCTATCCTTGTTCCTGACCCTCGCCATATAAATAGGCACAGTGTGTGTGTGTGTGGGTTTTTCCCCCTTATGTGCTAGAAAATATGGTAAATATAATAATCTATTGCTTAAGCAACATAGTCTCATGTGCTGATTCCAACACTAGGCAGGAACAATAAAACCACATGCAATATGGCAGTTAGCAAAGCTAGGTCTTTGTTCAGTCTTAATATATTCAATACAGTACAGTGTTTTCAGTACATGCTAGTTCACCTGTGTTTTAAAACAGTTTAATTGGAAAGTATTGATGATACCCCATTTTGATAGGTGCCAGCTAGTACAGTGGACCCCCGCATAGCGACCTTAATCCGTGCAAGAGGGCTGGTTGTTATGCGAAATGTTCGGTATGCGAATGAATTTTCCCCATAAGAAATAATGGAAATAAAATTAATCCGTGCAAGACGCCCAAAAGTATGAAAACAAAAATTTTACCACATGAAATAGACATTTTCCTACACACAAAGAGAAGGATACATGCACAAAAGTAGAGTAGTACATGCACAATATATATTGTGCATGTACTACTCTACTAAATGAAGAATAAATGACACTTACCTTTATTGAAGATGCAGCAATGACTGATGAGACACTGTGTCCTGGGAGTGCCTTTTCCTCCTGAGTACTGTAGGTCCTGTTTGGTATTTTCTTCCAGAACAGGCCTTATCACACTGTGTATGTCACTACGATTCTTAAATCTCTCAAACCAACCTTTGCTGGCTCTAAATTCACCAATATGAGCACTAGTTCCAGGCATTTTCCCTGTTCACCTGGGTGTTAGTCGACTGATGTGGGTTGCATCCTGGGAGACAAGATTAAGGACCCCAATGGAAATAAGTTAGACAGTCTTCGATGACACTGACTTTTTTGGGTTATCCTGGGTGGCAAATCCTCTGGGGTTAATTGTTTCTTGGTATTCTCAATAAGCCACACCAACAACGGTGGTACAGCAGCAGCAGCAGCAGACGATGCTACAGCAGCAGCAGCAGACGATGCTACAGCAGCAGCAGCAGACGATGCTACAGCAGCAACTGACGATGTTACAGCAGCAGCAGACGATGCTACAGCAGCAGCAGACGGTACTACAGCAGCAGCAGCAGCAGCAGCAGCTGACGGTGGTACAGCAGCAGCAGCAGCTGTACCACCAATAGTAGCGATGGTTGATTGGGGTTTATTATACAACCTGGCCAGCTCGGAGACACGCACTCCACTTTCATACTTATCAATGATCTTTTTCTTCATCTCCAAAGTAATTCTCACCCTTATTGCTGTAGGGTTGGCACTAGAAGCTATCTTGGGGCCCATGGTCACTTATTTTCCAGAAAAAAATCACCAAAAACACTGTAATAATACGAAATGTTCCGATTGTATGCTTGGATGTTACCGCGGAGGCTGGCTGGTAAACAATGCCACCGGCGGAACATGTGAGCGTGGCTCAGGCCGCACATTGGACGCGTCTCGGACGAAGGCCGCTGAGCGGGTTTTTGGGCGGTATGCGGGGCAAAATTTTAGCGATCAAAGCGTCTGCTATGCGGATTGTCCGTTATGCAAGGCGTCCGTTATGCGGGGGTCCACTGTATTACGTATCTAAGGACATTTTTGAAATAATGTGTACTCTACCTGGAGGTTATTCCGGGGATCAACGCCCCCTCAGCCCAGTCCACGACCAGGCCTCCCGGTGGATCAGGGCCTGATCAACCAGGCTGTTACTGCTGGCCGCACGCAGTCCAACGTACGAACCACAGCCCGGCTGATCCGGCACTGACTTTAAGTATCTGTCCGGCTCTCTTGAAGGCAGTCGGGTGTATTTATTATTATCACACTGGCCGATTCCCACCAAGGCAGGGTGGCCCGAAAAAGAAAAGCTTTCACCATCATTCACTCCATCACTGTCTTGCCAGAAGGGTGCTTTACACTACAGTTTTTAAACTGCAACATTAACACCCCTCCTTCAGAGTGCAGGCACTGTACTTCCCATCTCCAGGACTCAAGTACGGCCTGCCGGTTTCCCTGAATCCCTTCATAAATGTTACTTTGCTCACACTCCAACAGCACATCAAGTATTAAAAACCATTTCTCTCCATTCACTCCTATCAAACACACTCAAACATGCCTGCTGGAAGTCCAAGCCCCTCGCACACAAAACCTCCTTTACCCCCTCCCTCCAACCTTTCCTAGGCCGACCCCTACCCCGCCTTCCTTCCACTACAGACTGATACACTCTTGAAGTCATTCTATTTCGCTCCATTCTCTCTATGCTTGGTGGGAGGCTGTTGAACAGTCTTGGACCCCGGACACTTATGGTGTTTTCTCTTAGTGTACCAATGGCGCCCCTACTTTTAATTGGGGGTATTTTGCATCGCCTGCCCAGTCTTTTACTTTCATAGGGAATGATTTCTGTGTGCAGATTTGGGACCATTCCTTCCAGGATTTTCCAAGTGTAGATTATGATATATCTCTCTCTCTGAGGTAATTTTTTTTCTCTTTATTATGCAGCCTCTCCTCATTTAGCAGTGTACTCGTTTACCAACAACTCCGACTTGCAATGGACTCTCTAACCAGATGCATACCTAAATAATGTATATTAGAGCTGATTTTCTCTTCTGTTTACTACAGTATACAGGACACTACTGTATAAACATTTAAAATTATACTAAAAATGTTATAAATGGTGCAAAGGTGACATTAAAGCAATATCAAAGATGGTTGACACAAACCCTCTACCATTATAGTATGCTCCTCGCTTAGCAACGAATTCATTTACTGATGTGGTCTTAGGAACGGAACTCTGTTAATCCTTTACCAGGCCTGGTAATGGGTTAACCCATTACTAGGCCTGGTAAAGGAGAAGCTGTATTTAAAAAAATTTTTTTCTGTGTTTATATTTGCTTCATAATTTTTTTACAGGAATGAGGAGGAAGATGAAGAAGAAAAAGATAAAACTCCTTCTGTCCTCCAATTTTTTGCTAAGAAGCCAAAATCTTCAAGTGTGTTGGGGCGACCACCACAAAAGAAAACACACCACTTTTTTACCGATCGCTGCCTTAAATCTGTTGAGAGTTTCTAAGTTATTTTAATATATTCTACATGACAAATTGTTAATTTGCAGGCATTTGTGTTGAGCAAATATATAAATGAAATTTTAGCTATTCTCTTTTAGTAACTTCATCATTTGTCTTTTCATCTTACTGAAATCCGTTGCCATGTTGCATTTGTTTAGTATTAAAATGTGGTTTTCATATTTAATTTTCAATCCTTTAGCCCTTCAGTCATAATTCTGAAATAAGTAATCTGTTTTTATTGTGTACATCACACTTTCACTCTGGCCACCAAATATTTTGAACATCCTATGCTGTTCTCTGACATCTTGTAGACTAGGTGAAACTTCAGTTCAGTAGGTGCTGGCAACTGCTGCTCAGAGAATAGTCTCCCAGCACTAAGACCACACATGTTTGTAATTTACTATAAAATAAGATATGAATATTTTAAAATTCCAACATCATGCTCACACTCCAATTGCGAGTTGAAGTATGAGTAAAATAACATTTGTAAAGGGATTCGGGAAAACCAGTTAGTCCTGGAGGTGGGAAGTACAGTGGCTGCACTCTGAAGGAGGGGTGTTGACATGTTAGTTTTTAAACTAGTGTGGGCACACCTCTGGTAAGACAGTGATGAAATGAATGATGATGAAAGTTTCTTCTTTTTTGGGTTACCCTTCCTCGGTGGGAAACGGCAGATTTGTTAATAAAAAAAATATTGTAATATAGATAATTTGTCATTTGCACAAAAAATACAGTATACAGTAGGTCTCTAACTTTTAAGCATCAGTGTTGTGATTTGTAATTTATGGACAGTCTGCAAATGCAAACATTGCAAATACAGCATTCAGATATAAATTTTCAGTAAATTATATTTTCTTGGTTATTTTTTCACTTAAATGCGTTCATATTTTCCATGGGTTCATTGTATGTATGCGTGTCTGGCTCATATTTGTTTGGTAGAGACTGGTCAAAAACTTTATTTATTGCAATTTATTCAAAACAATTATTTTTTCTTTTTGTATTTATCAAATGCACTGATATTTTGTAATTAGCTTTTATGTACAGTAGGGCTACCACCATCACAATCACTACCACCCTCTACCACCATCACTTCCACCCTCTACCACAATCACTACCACCTCTACCTTTGTAGAGGGTGGTAGTGATATTTCTCCACAAAACTTAGGAACTCATTTTACAAGGTCTTGAATTCTATCGTGTTTCTCCCCTTCTTTATCAAAGGGCTGATACTCTGAACTTTCTTTGGCCCCATGGTGTCTTATTTCACAGTAGCAATCGATAACAAGCACAAAAAACAATGGATGAATGCACGGAATATTGCTAACTCAGTGAGAGACAGAGGTAGACTGAGTCTGGTACGCATGAGAAGCGGCGTCCCAGGCAGGTGGACGCATCTAATACGGATGATTTCCAAGTGGATGTACAAAACCCGGGGGAAAATTTCACCTAAAAAAAGTGATCAAAATCCAAATTGTACAATTTCCACACTGCACGAAAACCAGGGTCCTCTTTATTTCCTATGAGGATAAATTGAGGGCACTGACTCTGCATTCTAGAAAGGCATAGAATTAAGAATATGACCAAGATGTATAAATGGAAGATATGACCCTTGTAGGTTTAGCATTTTTTTTTTATATAAATGGAAGACTGGAATAAATAAAGGATATAAATAATGTGCTAAATATGTCAACCAAGAGAGGACTCCCAGCAATAGGCATAAGTTGGAAAAATTTAGTTTGAGAAAAGATATAGTAAAGCATTGATTTGGTAATAGAGTTGTGAATGAGTGAAGCAAACTCCTGAGTAGCATCATTGAAGCAAAATACATGAGTGGGCGTGGGTGGGTGTGAGTTGGACCTGACCAGCTTGTGCTGCTGGGTCTGGTACAGTGCTCCATCCTTGAGTGGGGATGACCAGACTGGGTGGGTCATTGGGATAACCTGGGGGTGGGTCATTGGTCTAATCAGGGGGGGGGGACATGGACCTGCTCTGCATGGGTCAGTAGGCCTGCTGCAGTGTTCCTTCTTTCTTATGTTCTTAAAAACCTTGGATAGCTTTAGCAGCACTGTATGACCCTAAAGGGGTTAGTGCTTCTTTTTTATTATAACGGTTGCCTTAAAAATAGGTTAGACATATACAAAAGTGAATGTGAGCTGACTTACCTATCATGGGCCAGCAGGCCTGCTGCAGTGCTCCTTTTATGGTTTTACATTAAACTACATCCCTACCTTTGACATAGACATCCTCTTTGACCTTGTAAGCGACAGCTTTATTATACCAACTTTGCTTATACTTTTCCTTTAGCATTCTTCACCTTCTTTATTCTGCCTCTGCCTCCAGCATCCTCTTCACCTTCACTGGTCTCTGATCTAACATATTACATCTTTAGTACATCCTATCATGCAGTGCTGTATGACTGGTGTTAAGACTAATATTACAATAAAAGTGTTTTAAAAAATCTGAAGATGAAATAATACCTGTTGTCAGGCTGTGTAAGTTTCCTTTATCTAAAACAATATATAAAAAAGCTTCATTTATGATGAAAATAAATAGAATCTTCTATTCATAATCTGACAAAATTTAAATAGACAGCATACTTTGATATTACATTTTTTTTTTTTTTTTAACATTTTATGCAATTGTTGAGAGACTTAATATGTATAATGATTTATTACACCATAAATTATTACCACCTGCACCATTACTTGTAAAGTGGATTTTGTGTGCAATTTCAAGATTATTTTACCGAACCCTACTCCACCTTACTACCTCTCGCTTGTATTAAGTTTAAATAAGACTGTAAAACAATTAACCACTATTGCTTGTCTAGTTTTAAGTATAGTTACTATGTACTATTATCTTATCTAGTTTTAATTAGTTACTTTGTATTAGGATTAGTTTGCCCGGAATGCCTCGGGATGATAGTGGCTATCTTTGTACTTAGCAAATCAAAATTGTAATTACACATTGTAACCTTGACAAAGAAATAAACTTTACTACTAACCTTCCCTGGTCTCTGATCTTCACATTTCATCTTAGACATCCGACACTGCAGCGCTGTGATAATTGTGCAGTTAATACCACTAAGACCATAATTTTCACAGGGGTGGACCAGTAAGTCAGCAGAAGGCTTCGGTCAGATGACCTAAAGCTCCAACGATGGGTCATCATCTGACTGACTAAGACCCGCGTCAGGAAACTTGTCCTGTTTCCTGACAAATCTTGACTAACCATAACCCAAGAAAATTAGTGACTTTTAACTTATTTAAACCTTAAAAGCTGAAACAGCTAAGTAACAACTGTGTGAGAAGCAGTTACAATACCATACCCCTTCTGTTATTGTTTTTTATATATATATACAGTGGGCCCCCGGTTAACGATATTTTTTCACTCCAGAAGTATGTTCAGGTGCCAGTACTTACCGAATTTGTTCCCATAAGGAATATTGTGAAGTAGATTAGTCCATTTCAGACCCCCAAACATACACGTGCAAACGCACTTACATAAATACACTTACATAATTGGTCGCATTCGGAGGTGATCGTTATGCGGGGGTCCACTGTATATTTTTTTTTATTCACACATCAGCCCAGTCCCACCAAGGCAGGGTGACCAGAAAAAGAAAAACTCATCATTCATTTTTTTTTTTATTATATTTAGCAAAAATAGTAAAAGTACATAGAGAGATCATGCAGCACTTTTGGTAATTTGATGTAATCATATTTGATCTAAGTAAGGTAAGGGTAATTAGGAAAAGTAGGTGTACTGGTTGTATTGATGGGGGGGGTTCATCCTGGGGAAAAAATTTGATCTAATTTCCCGAATTGCTCTGCTAACAAGGGATTAAATATAAAGAAATAGCATTGATGTCCTTGTAGAAATTATTATATTACCCCATGAAGGCATTTTCCCCTTCCCCCATCCCTTCCTGGGGAAGCTTGGCTAGAATTAAATACACAGCGGAAGTAGACAGTTCTTTTTGACGCACTGACTTTTTTGGGGTTATGGAGGGGCTAACCCTCCCCCGGGTAAAGGGTGGCTAACCCCCCGGGTTAAAAACCAACGAAATCTTATTTTAAATTTTATACTTGGTTTTAAAAACCCGTAAGAAAAAAACAATCACCCCTTTTAGTTTTTTTATTGGCATTTTTTTTAAACCCTTTTTTTAAATCTCCCTAAAATGCTGTGTTTATTTCCGGGGGGAATGAAAACCCCCCAGGGGTCAGCGCCTGGGGAAAAGGGATTATATCACGTGCCTTTTGTTTTTGGACATTACCATTTTACTACTTGGGCCGTCCTTCCGAACAAAGATTATGTCCCAAAATAATCTTTTTTTAAACAGTTTAGGTAGCTCAAACCCCCACGGGTCTAAAGGGGCTGGAAAAGGGGAGAATCGGTTAAAGGGGAAAAAGTTATTAAATTTCCTTGAATCAAGAGCCCTTCCCAGGATCAAGGCCCCCCTTGGGTTTGATGGTCAACATTAATCAAAAAGCTAAATATTTAATGAAATTTTGTACTCTGTACGTTTTATGTCTCATTTAATTAACCGGCAATTTTAAAACTGATACTTTTTTAAACTAAATTTTTTTGAGTTGGGTGAATGAAAAACGGGGTAACATAGCCAATTTTATCGTCTTCTGGTGTGAAGGCGGAACACTGGGCTGCTGGAACATAGCAGCTGCATCACTGGCGGGGGAACACTAGGCAGCTGCTCACTCTGGAACACTAGGCTGCTGATACGGGGGAAAAGGCTGCTGCATACTGGCTGGAACATGGGCTGCTGCTCACTGGGGGGAAACACTAGGCTGTGCATCACTGGCGGGAACATAGGCTGCTGCATCACGGCTGGAACACTAGGCTCTGCTCATGGCGGAACACTGGGCGCTGCATCATGGCTGGAACACTAGGCCTGCATCACGGGCTGGAACCTACGCTGCATCACGGCTGGAACACTGGGCTGCTGCATCACTGGCTGGAACACTGGCTGCTGCATCATGGCGGGAAACATAGGTGCTGCATCACTGGCTGGAACACTAGGCGCTGATCACTGGCGGGAACACTAGGTGCTGCATCACGGGCTGGAACATGGGGCTGCTGCATCACTGGCGGGAAAAACACTAGGCTGTTTCTCATGGGGGAACACTGGCGCTGCATCACGGCTGGAAACACTAGGTGCTGCATCACTGGCGGGAACACTAGGCTGCTGCATCAGGGCGGAAACACTAGGGCGCTCACTGGCGGGAACATAGGCTGCTGCATCACTGGCTGGAAACACTGGGCTGCATCAGGGGCTGGAACACGGGCTGCGCCCTGGCTGGAACACTAGCTGCTGATCACGGGTGGGACCTGGCTGCTGCACACGGCTGGAACACTGGGCTCTGCATCACTGGGGGAACACTGGGTGCTGTATGGCTGGAACACTAGGCTGCTCATCACTGGCTGGAACACTGGCTGCTGCTCACTGGCGGAACACGGGCTGCTGCATCACTGGCTGGAACCGGGGCGCGCATCATGGTGGAACACAGGTGCGCACATGGTGGAACACTAGGTGCTGCACACTGGCGGGGAACACTAGGCTGCTGCATCACGGGCGGGAACACTGGGCTGCTGCATCACTGCTGGAACACTAGGCTGCTATCACTAGCTGGAAATTGGGTGCATCGGTCTGGAACCAGTATAATTGTTGAAACATGATTCAGTTTAAATGCAACTTCATCTCTCACCCAAACTTTTTTTATGAAAAAACATACAATTTTACCACTGAAATATTTTAAAGATTTTCCCCCAGCTGGGTTGAAGCTTCAAAACCTATAGCGTAAGTTTTGTTGGGTTTTTTTAACCCGAAGAGTTAGCCACCCAGGATAACCCAAGTCAGTACGTCTGCCAGGGCTTGTTAAAAACGTTAAAAACAACGCTTTGCTTGTAAAACAAGGCATCGCTAGAAAAAAAAACATTGCGGTTTAAAAAAAACGGCATCGCTGGCAAGAAACGAGGCACGGGGGAAAAAAAAAAAAAAAGGCATTGTGGCGGCTAGCAAAAAACAAAGCATCTCTGGAAAAGACACAAGGCACCGTGGCATGAAAAAGGCACCGCTGGCAAAAAACGCTGTTTTGCCCTTGTGGCTTAGGTTTTCTTTTTTTGTTATAATAATAATAATGGAAAGAAAAAAAGGCAATCGCTGGCGAGAAACAAAGTCGCGGGCAAAAAACAAAGCATCGCTGGCAAGAAACAAGGCATCGGGGCAAGAAAAAAAGGCATCCTGGCAAGAAACAAGGCACCCGGGGCAAGAAAAAAGGGATCCGGGAAAAGAAAAAGCATCGGGAAGAAAAAAGGGCACGCTGCAAAAAAACAAGGCATCGCGGGAAAAACAAGGCACCGGGCAAAAAACAGAGCATCGCGGGAAGAAACAAAGCACGCGGCAAGAAAAAAAGCATCGCTGGCAAAAAAACAAGGCCGCGGCGGAAAAAAACATCGCTGGCAAGAAAAAGCATCGCTGGCAAGGAAAAAAAAGCATCGTGGCAGAAAAAAAGGCATCGCGGTGGATGAGGCATTTTGACTGGGGTTATTTTGTTATTAGGTTGTTAGTTTTAGTTTTGTTAGTACTGGTATTGCTACAATTAATGCTACTTTTAAAAAACTATTGTGACAAACCCTTCATACGATTCATCAATACATAATTAATGTTTACAAAAACTATTAAATTAATACATCACCAAATTTTGTATTGAGCATATATAGGCACCTAGGTAGGTTATGGGGCCATACTGAAGTTGCCAGCCTCATCTGGCAGACTCATTATCTGTGGGATGGAGTATTAAAAAACCATCCTGCTAGGTAAAGTAAAACGGAAAACACCTGTGTGAAAAATACAAACTTAAAACATAGGCAAAGTAGCAGGAACACAGTCATCTTGGTAGTGGTAGATCCCTGGCTGGAAAAAAATGTCATTAGTTCTTTTTTTTTTTTTTGCCATCCCCCCCACTCTCCTGGGGGGTTTACTAAAAAGACTTTTAAGATACCTGGAGAGAGCCCGGGGGGTAACGCCCCCGCGGCCCGGTCTGTGACCAGGCCCCCTGGTGGAAGAGCCTGACAACCAGGTGTTTGTGGCGCACGAAAACCAACGTACGGCCACAGCCGGCTGGTCGGGAACCCGACTTGGTGCTTGTCCATGCCATTTGAAGACTGCACGGGCCGGATTCCCGAAATAGGAAAACTGGGGCATTTGCCTGGGCCCCCGGTCCAAGGGGTTCGGGGGGCTCACCCAAGATCACACAGGTGCAAGTGAAAAGGGGGCCCCTACCAAAAAAGTTAAAGTGTTTGGGATAAAATTGATTTTTAAAAAATTTAATCAAAACAAAAAAAAAATAATGAAAAAAAATAAAATAAAATAAATAAAACCAAACCCAAAGGGCAACACTCAAACACCCCTTTGTTTACATCAGAACAGCTGTTTTTTTTCCCCGCTAATGGGTGAGTAGGCAGATTCCTCCCCAAATTTTCTGTAGTAATTACACGTTTCTAGCTTGTATTGTGAGAGTTAATGAAGTGTTGTTGATAGACTTTATGTGTATGGTAAATGTTTTTTTTCGCCTCTAATTTTAAGGGAGGTACCTGATGGGGTTTATTCCCAGAAAAGACGCAGGGCCAGAAAGACGCTTTTTTGGTAAAAATACTATAAAAAAAAACCCAAAAAACCAAATGCTTCCGTTTGTGGGTTTTTAAAGCACTTTTTCCTGTCTTTAAGTCTTTATCATTTCAAAACAGTCTCTTGATTGATGTTCAATCACTTCCGTCACAAAGTTTTTTTTAAAATTTTGCGGGGAAAGGGTGTAAAACATCAATTATTTTACATATTTCCCCAGAAAACCATAAGCCACATCAGAAAATCGTTGGTTTGGGCGAATAAAAATTATCCCTGCATTTTTTAAAATTTCAGTCCTTATCTATGGGGTAGGCCATATATCATACAAAACATAATGATTAGTTTTTTTAGGGAAAATGGTAATAA